CCTTCTAGGTCTGGATTTCGTATATTACGTGTATATATAGCGAGTTCAACTTTTCAACACACTAATGTGGTTTCGTCACTCGCGCGTACTGCCGTCCGCTGTGATAATTGAATAAATCAAAAAAACCGAACTAGGATATACCGTAGGGGCTAGGGGGTCCCTGGAAAAATCTATGGGGGGTCCCTGACGAAGTGAACAATTTGTCGGAAATAAGGATAAAATCGTTTTTTTTTGCTCTTCACTTTTTTGGCGAAAATCACTAGCAAATCGAATAATATTATCGTGTATGCGATAAAAGGTAAAATTTTATAGAGCCTGAAACTGAATGTAAAATCTGATTATTTCAAATAAAAACACATTTTATTGTTTAAAATGTCCATTTATTATGGTTTTAAATGTTAAAATAAGTAAACAATCTCCCGTTCCCATTTTGGTGTTTAAACTTAAATTCTCGTTTAAAAGCAGATTCAAAAAGTAAAATACCGTAAAATATTTTACGGTAGATATTTTGTACAAAGATAGAGATGATTCCAGTTTTGGATGGCTTGTGATAAGGCAGTAAAATAAATATATAAAAAAAATACTTCAACTTAATTGGTAATCAAAACAATTGCTAACAAATTGTGTCCAATAAAAATTTGGAGTGAATGAAAAAAAAACAGATCATCCAGATAAAAATGCGATCCCGTAGTCCACTATACCCAATTATAAATATTTTTACTTATCCATAAATCGTACGATAATTTCAAACGATAATGATCAAATCTATTTTCAATTCATAATTTGCATTTCAATTCAATGCACTTTTGTTCCTCGAAAATATAGTGTTTATGAAGAAATGTTCCAATTTTCTCTGCCATTAATTCGGGTTGATTTAGATGAACGTGATGTGTTCCGGGTATTTTTAACATGTCAAAATTTTTATTGTATCGTTTAAACAGTTCGATTGATTCGAGTATATTTTTTTCTGGTTCTCGAAAGATCCGATCATCCGATTTGATGAATAAATAAGCGGCTTGAATTCGTTTTATATATTCCGCTGCGACCGATTGTGCAATGTAAAATGGTTGCATGTACTTGACCCGAACGTCTCTGGTGAAATAGAATTTATTTGGATTATTTTTAGATGGTTTTATACCATGGCTGAACATATATTTTGCTTTATCGATGTCCACAGATTGGTAGGATCCGTCAAGGACCCGCTGCCCTAACTCATCATAAGTGTATTCAGGTGCATGTTCTTTTAACTTGCCCATCAAATTGATGAGTTGAGTTGCTCGGAATGTGTATAATTTCTCCGTGGTGTGTGGCGGATAATTTTGGGGCTTGAGTGTGTCTAATGCAACAATTAAGTCGACATTTTCGGGTAAAATTGCACCGTAATAAAACGAAACAATCGCACCCATCGAGTGACCTATCAGACTGATACGTTCCCATTTCATTTTTATACGAATTTCTTCTAAAATTACGATAAAATCCACGGTGTGATAATAACAGCCCGGCGGGAGATGTGATGAAAAACCATGACCTGCGTTAAATACCAACAAAGTATTGAGTTGGGATACAGTTTTTTTCCTTTTAAAAATTAATTTTCAATATTTACCCGGCCAATCGATCGCAAGGTAGCTGAATTCTGGCGGTAACAATGGGATCAGAGTCGCGAACGAACCTTCAAAAAATTAATTTTTTTATTAATTTTTTTTTATTTTTAATTTAAATGAATTAAATAAAAAAAAATTGAACCTTCACAATCTTGCCAACCATGACACATTAATATTGGGCGCTTCTTTTTTGAACCCCACCATCGGCCGGTTATTTGTCCATACGTTAGGTCCAGTTGGAATTCTTCAAACTCAATCACATTGGCCGGAGTCTGAAAATAAATGGACGAAGAACAAAATTGATTATTTGGAATTAAAAAAAAAAAAATTGAAAAAAAGTTTTAAAAAAACTGAAAAATCAATGAAAAACGTCGATGCTTTTTGTTTAAATCCATAAACCACTTTAATTGAATTAAATCTGTGTAACATTCAATAGGAAATCATAATAGTAAAACGTGCAACAGTATCCTATAATCCCATCAATTCTCGATCTGCGGACGATATTTATTGATAAACTTCGAAATATGCTCGCTGACATGCTTTGGTTCGGTCAAATGACAATGATGGCCACCAACAACGGTGCGCAACTCAAACTTTGGATTCGCCTTGGTCAAAATATCCAACGCCTTTTGATATCGTTCTTTTCCTTCAAACTCCTTCGATTTACTGCATTTGATGAAAAAATGCGGTGCCTTTATGCGTTCCATCAACTTAAGATGGACGTCATCATTAATATTGGCCGCCGTAAATTCCATCAATTTAAGTCGAACATCTCTGGTAAAATGGAAGAGATTTTTGTTCGACTTTGATGTGGTAACACCCCGTTTCATAAGATATTCCGTGGCTTCTGGTGTTAAGTTCGCTTGTTTTGCCCACCGTTCAAGCGCTTCATTATACGTATAACTTGGTGGCTCTTTATCGGATCGATTCAATTGATCCAGATCCAAAAATTCGTCGCAACTCTTGCGAGCCCACTCGATTATATGATCCGCATTACCAGGATATGGTTTCATCAATGCGTCCAAACAAATCAATAAATCACATCGTTCTGGGTACAGTGCCGCATAAAGTGACGAGATTTGAGCACCCATCGAATGGCTACAAAATGACATTTGATCCCATTTGTAATGACGTTGAATGATGCTCACTACATTCAGATAATTGGTTGCTGTATACATTATTCCATGCGGTAAACGGCTTGATAGCCCATGACCCGGCAAATCAATCGACAAATATGCGAGATGCTTCGGCAACAATGGGATCAGTGGATCGAAACTTCCACAATTGAGCATCCACCCATGAAGCAGTACGATGGGGCGGGTATTTGATGGTCCGTACCATTTTGCAGCGATGTGACCCCACGGCGCTTCAATCTCCACTTCTTTTGGCTTCAATAAAAAATTTATCGAACTAGAAAAATGTGCACATCTTCGTGGATTTATGGAAATTTATGAATGGTTTTTTTTTACTCACCTCGTCGACTTTCGGTTCATCCACTGACTGGAGCTTGGCATTTGTTGTGCCCAATGAACGATGACCTGGGTATATCAATTTTTGTAGATTTTTCAATGAACACAATTTATTCATGGTGTTTTATTTGATTGTTTAATAGTTGTCGGTATGAAACACAGTATAAAATGCGGAATTTCAATGAAATTCTATTTTTTTCTATTTCTTTTTATATTTTTTCTAAATGTCGTATTTGCTGCTTTTTTCGTGAAATTCCACGAGCAATGTGAAAATGATTAGATGACAGTTCATCAGCTGTCATCGAATGACAAACTATGTCTAAATTCAATGATTGTCAAATTTATTGTGTCTAAATTCGTTCCAATGTCATATCAAATTCAATTCTCTTTTTATTTTGATCGAAAATGATAATATAAATGGAATAAAAGAAATTTTGAAGTGAAAAACCAATTTTTTAAGTTATTTATAAAAAAAATCGTATTTATTCATGTATTACATTGTACTGAATTGAGTTTAAAAAATCAAACTAACCAAAAATACCTTTCCCACACTATGTTTGCGGAGAGGTAAAAGCTCTTCCAAATGAATAATAGCAACTATATTTCATAATTTCATTTAATCAGGAATATAAATTTCACAATTGCCTGACCCAGTCGAACCCTTATTCGATGGCGTGTTTTGTGTGGACAACTGTAATGGTCCGGTTTTTGAATCAGAATTATAAACTCGTACGGAATCGGAAAACGTGACGTTATTATGATGCAAAACTACTGTGTGATATAGTGATGATCTTTTGGGATTTGGAATTGCATTTTGTTCATTGGATCTATGATTGTTGTGATGGGTAATTGTTGGCGGTTCATTTGATGCGCGAATTTCATCCATGTTGGATGTCGATGGGGCATACAAGTGTCGATGGGCAATACATGGATGGACCTCAATGTCAGCGCTTCGGTTACTATCACGGGCTATATGTCCACCAGTTGGTTCCTCTAATTTTATCATTTTCTTGTCCAAGGGACTCAATATCAGATCTATTTGATAGGCGTGTCTCCGTAGCATTCTTGTCGTATATCACTTGCAATATCATACCGGTAACAACATAAATGACGATCAAAAATACTGAACAAAAATTGAATCATATAATTATAATTGGAAAAATAGAAATCCAACATGAACTTACTCATCCCAGGAAGGAAGTCGATGTAAAATATGCAATATATGATGGTGATTAAAAGAAGCACAGCATACGATATCAGTAATTTGTACTTTTTTTGCCCCTATCGAAGAATAATTCAGTGTCAAGGTCAGTGCGTCGTATATTTTTTTGTAACTATTATTAGAATGGAATTTTTGCGAAATGGCGAGATACGCGGCACTCATGTTTCATGATTAATTAAATGAAATTTTAATTGGGCCAAAAGTCAATAAGTCGCATCAATGTATTCGCATGTGGTTTAATTTATTATTTATAAAGATCTGTTATGAAATTGACATTTGCAATAAAGCATTTTTCGTTGCTTTTTCTTTTATTCATCGTTCAATCATTTTATTTTCAAAACAATAGCCAAAATTAAAAATATCTTATTGATTAGGAAAAAAACGAAAGTAAAACCGAACTTTTCATTTTTCGTGCTTTGTTCTATGGTTGCGATGTGTCTCATTCAATGGATGACACAAGACTGCGTTGTTTATTCAAATTTTGCGTTCGTCGAATGTAAGCGGATACGCACATCATTGCGTCAATTAATGCGACTGCTGTGCGTAAAAAATGATTTTTGTATCAATTTCAAACAAATTTAACTGAACCAACCGCAATACATATATATATATATATATGGTGTTATTCAGACCGAATTTTGGCGAAATAAATGAAATAACGCTATAACACACCCATATTACTGACCTTATGACCTTATCAACATTGAATATGATATAGTGCAATTATTTGACTCAAAAATCGAATATGGCACGAGTATGTGATTGTGGATCATTCTTATATGATGTAAATAACATTTAGAAATGGCTAGGGAGACGAACGAAAAGAAAAAACTAGTTTTTTTCTCTATTTACTCGTCCGACTTTGATATCATCACCACAGTGTGTGGCTAAAGAGTGAAATAAATAGGAAATATGTCAGATTAACACAATTCTGATCTTAAAAAAATCATCTAATCATCAGGAGCATAAACTGCACAATTGTCTGATCTAGTCGCACTTTTATCCGAACAAGTGTGTTGCACGGCCATCGTAGGTCCTTGGTGAAAGTTGTTTGCGTTGCTCAATGGTACTGCATTTGTATTAGAATAAGACGACGTTGCATTTAAATACGTCATAACAGCATTATAATCTGGTGGTGGAGTCGATGGAATAGGCACATCATTCACATGATCGCTGATCGTAAATGGACGGGGCAGTGGCGTATAAGAATTATTCAGCCAATGGCCGCCAACACTATTAACTTCAACATCAACATTTTGTGGTTCCGTCTGCATAAGTTCGTATTTAAATTTCAATAACAGGTAGGCATTGACGTAAATTATGATTAAGAAAACTGAAGAAAAAATTCATTTGTATTTGTAGAAATTGAGAAATGAAAATTCCGAAATAAACATACCTATTCCAATAGTGTAGTCGGCGAAAAATATGCAATATACGATGGTGGGTAAGAAAACCACAATGCACGTTATCAGTGATACCAATTTAAACCTTTCACGCTCCTATCGAAGAGAGGAATTAATGATGTCATATTATTTTCACGGAATTAAAATCCACTTACTTTTGAAATACCAGCAAATGATAGCGCACAAAAAATGACTGAAAACATTTAAACAGTGAAAGCTGTTTTTTCACAGTAAGGACACTTATATTACAGACTTACCAAATGATATAATAACAAGGATATTATTAAAGATTTTCATGGCGTTTATTTCAAATCTTGGTATTATTATGATACCTAATAAACAGAATGCACCCCAAATCGCAGTTATTATTATAGTAGCTACCACGACCACTCTATATGTCTCCATTGTTATTTTATCAACCATTTATTCACAATTTCTGCATAGAAAGTACTTCGACGGGCACTGTTGGTGTACTACTGAACTTGATGTTGTTTTTTGTTAATTATTTTCAACTTTCAACGCAATAACGAAAACAGTTTCCAAAACAAAAACTAAAAATAGCTTATTAATTGGGAAAATCGAAAGCAAAACAGAACTGTTGCTATGTTATCCAATTTGTGGAGAAATACTGCGTTTAATTTCGAGATTTTCCATGTCGCGCCGGTAAACGTATATGAGGTGCGTCCACTGAACGAATGCGCTCATTGCATGTTTATGCGAAAAGTTATGTATTTATACAGAGCTATAGCTCTTATAACTTAGTTGCACTCAATTGGAGCAACATGACGTAAGCAGACTATTACCCAAATCGTTGGAATGCGGAGTTGAGATGTGCATGGATGTGTGGGGCTGTGTTGATTGAAATGCACATATTTAAGAACATGCATGCACATAGTTACCATTTCGCGCACACCACTGAAGGTTTACTGTTGTGTTGTGTACTGTTTCCGACGAGACACACAGCTCCACGTAGGTCAACATTTTGAGTATTTGGGCTACAGTTTCAATCAATTTTTATAACATTCTCAATTTATAATTAAATGTGTTTTGAACATTTCATTTTAGCATAATAATAGAATTTGCTACTGTAAACTAGCTAATATATACATTTTGAATCGTTAAAAAAACAAATTCTATTTCAAAAATATTCGCATCATTCATTGAATTTACGTGGAAAATTGCCAGGTCGTGTATTTAGGTTGTTAACATTTGAATCATCGATGTCGATTTGAGCAAAATGCTTCAAAAGTGCCGAATTTCCAAGTTCCTAAAGAATCCATTTAATTAGAAATTTTCATTTTCTATCGTTAACTGACGTCAGCTGATTACATTGACGAAAAATATCAAAATCATGCATATAAATGCGAATATTTCTGTTATTGATCAGTATAACAACACATCAGTAGGCACCAATAGGCACTTTCAAAATAGAGAAAATGAACTTATCTCCTCTTTCAACGTGTATATCATTTTTGCTGTTTATCCAGGTACGACATCAAAGAAAGACATAAAAAAAAGAATTTTTAAATAAAAAAAATGTTTATTTTCTCTTCCAAAATTAAGTTAATCAATGGTATGCAACACAATGGCGAAGAAGACATTACATTCTCCAACTTGCTGGACCAATTTAATAAAAAAGCGGCAGAAAAAGGATTCGACATGGGATCAAAGCTGCATTTCATAATCAAGATTTCGAACACAGTTGGCAAGTTGAAAAAGAAACTAGAGACGCCACCAAAAGAATTCATGGATAGCAAAAAATTGAAAAGAGTATTGGCAAGTGTGCCGAAAACCATGACAATTACAGGACCCGATTATGTTGAAGTAAATGGTCGTGAATTTCTGCGTCTGATGATTGGTATTATAAACGATGCAGCAACGGAGAACATTCCAAATATTAGTGCCGAAATTTGCACAGAAATTACATTCATACCACCCCATGATCAACTATTCGATGACTGGTATAAAGCATGGGATATGGATCCTATTAGCGAGCAACATATGATTCAAGTCTATAAAGAGCTACCGGCTATGACCACGAAGTATGTGCAATTGTACGATTTATACCACAAACGGTTGGGAGAAGTTGAAGCAGCAGTGAAGGGGGTTAAATTTCTCACAAAATTGATAAACACCGATTTTGATAGGCTTTTGATACTTAATCCGGAAGAAGAAAGCGATGCTGTACAGGCCAGAGAAACTGTTCTAAGATTACAGCCGCTTTTGGAAAGATTGGGGCAACATCAAGAACACGTGATTCGTCAACTTACACAGGTCAGGGATGTTCTGATAGAATACAACAAAGATCGAATTAAATGGATCGAATTTTTGGTGGAAATAAGGGAGTCTTTGACGTCAGATCGAAGAACGACGTTGAGTAAAAATAATAACAGGGAAGTAAATCCTGTGGTGAATAAAAAGCGCAAGGCTGCTATGTCACGAGTGGTAAACTGTTTTACTAAAATCCTTTGCTTCCGAAAAGATCTTTAATATTTTGTTGAATTTTTCTTACTTCTGAATTATTTTTCGTATAAAAACTACTTGGGAAAAATGCAATAAATATCTTTATAAATTGGAATAAAATCAAATCAACGTACGTTAAAAATTATTATTTTTCATTGCAAAAGTTGAGAATTTATTATTGACCTTGGAAAGATGATCGATTCTTTCACTTGAGTATCGTAAGACATCGGAACTAGACGACTCGGAGACTGAAAATTGAAAAAAATTCTTTGAAATTTTGTTGTTCGATCGACGTTAGATGAATAACAAGTTATTGTCCTTGAATATGTATTTATCTTTCCTATAAAAGTACTTAAAATAAAAAAATACGTATTTCGCTTTGTTTCGTTTAAATTGCTTATTCATTGTGTTTCTGTAGTTCATTTATCGGAATGACTCATTTCAAACGAGAATATTCTTTATATTATGAAGTTTAGCAAACTTTTTATTTTATTTTATTTTTTTGATGCAGAAATTTGAGAAAATTGTTTCCGTTTGTTTGTTACTCGTTGCATGAGCTTCAAATGTGAAAACTTACGGCAGAAGAACTCAATTGACACAAAATTGAACGCAAAAAGGAATCGAGGGCGTTTTCTGAACAAAAATTACTTCTTCGAGCCATTTCACAAACTTACTTTGAGAAGGTCTCAAAAATTGTACAAATAAAAATAAGGAAAAGAAAAAAGAGATAAAAATGAACTTTCAAAATTCTCTTTGTCTGCATTCTTTTATTGTTACCATCACATAATCAAAAAGAATTAATCGCGGAAGCAAAGGATTTTAGCAATATAAGCTATAATTTGGTTCATACTGTCAATGCGCATATTATTCACAGCTAAAAACGGCTCCACACTGTTATTTTTGATTATTGTTTTTCGTTTTGATGCTAACGTCTCTCTCATTTCCATCAAAAATTCGATCCATTTAACACGATCTGCGTTGTATGCTCTAAGAACATCCCTAACTTCTTTAAGGTGATTAGAAACTTGACCCAGATTTTGAAATAATCTTTCCAAAAGCGGTTGTAATCTTACAACAATTTCTCTGGCCTGTACAGCATCGCTTTTTCCTTTCGGATTAAGTTTCAAAAGTAAATCAAAATCGGTGTTGACTAATTTCGTGAGAAATTTAACTGTTGTTTCTGCTGCCTCGACTTCCCCCAACCGTTTGTGGTATAAATCGTACAATTGCGCATATTTCGTGGTCATGACTGGTAATTCTTTATAGACTTGATTCACATGGTTTTCGCTAATTGGATCCATATCCCATGCTTTATACCATTCATCGAAAAATTTATCGTACGGCGGTATAAATTCTATTTCTCTGCAAATTTCGGCGCTAACATCCCGAATGTCTACGGTTTGAGCATTATTTATAACTCCAATCGCTTGGGTGAGAAATTCACGACCGTTTACTTTAGCAAACATGATTGTGAGTGTCATGGTTTTCGGCACACTTGCCAATACTCTTTTCAATTTTTTGCTATCCATGAATTCTTTTGGTGGCGTCCCAAGTCTCTTTTTCAACTTGCCAACTGTGTTCGAAATCTTGATTATGAATTGCAACTTTGATCCCATGTCGAATCCTTTTTCTGCCGCTTTTTTATTAAATTGGTCCAGCAAGTTGGAGAATGTAATGTCTTCTTCGCCATTGTGTTGCATACCATTGATTAACTTAATTTTGGAAGAGAATTTTTTTTTATTATTTAAAAATGATTTTATGATGTCTTTCTTTGAGGTCGTACCTGAATAAACAGCAAAAATGATATACACGTTGAAAGAGTAGATAGCTTCATTTTCTCTATTTTGAAAGTGCCTATTGGTTTCTGTTGATGTGTTGTTATACTGATCAATAACAGAAATATTCGCATTTATATACATACACGATTTTATTTTAAATATTTTCCATCAATCAATTGACACCAATTTGCAATTGAAAATGTTAATTAAATGAATTTTTTCAAAAATATGGAATGTGAAGTAAACGGTGGAATTTAACGCTTTTGACGCATTCTGCTCAAATTGACGTCGATGATTTAAATGATGTTGACATCTTTCGTATAGGAACTTATTATATTGAAAAATTAAGGTTAAAGTTACTCGTTTAAAGCCAATATGACTTTTACTACCCGTATTAGAAGAATTCACGCTTCTTGTACACTCGGCACATCATCGCTGCTTTACGGAATATCAGCCGTTGAGTTCACTGCGAACTATCGTGCATCTAATGCATGTGTTTGCTCATTAGGTGGTTTTTTTTGGTCATTTTTCGGAATTTGTTGGGCAAATAGTTTTTTTGCGTCTATTAGACGTCAGAAACAACATACCGGTGTAATTTTTGGTTTTCATCTCACCAGTAGGTAGCGCAAGAGCTATATCGATTCCATGGTGTATCCCTTATTTATCCCTTGGAACACTAGATTTTGTGAAAATATAAAAACATCTTTTCTCAATCATATCGGTCCGAAATGAAGAGTAACCATCATTTATGACCAGAATTTAGGTTCTGGTGAAGTTTCAGGCGATTTGAATGAAAATAGAACAGTTTTTACTTAATTGGAATACTTCGGAAAGTCAGTTTAGGTAACTTTGGAAGGTAACCAAAAAGTGACCATTCGATCCCATTTGACCATATTTCTATATTTCCCAATGTTCAATAAAAATATCAGTCTTCGACTTATATGGAACGTCCAAATGATTGTATACCAAAGCTATAATCAATTATTTTTGGTTGAAAAGCATTCCAGCTTCAATACACATCAATTTATGGAGAAAATCTATCGCCTGAAACTTCACCAGAACCTAACTTCTGGTCATAAATGATGATTACTCTTCATTTCGGACCGATATGATTGAGAAAAGATGTTTTTATATTTTCACAAAATCTAGTGTTCCAAGGGATAAATAAGGGATACACCATGGAATCGATATAGCTCTTGCGCTACCTACTGGTGAGACGAAAACCAGAAATTACACCGGTATGTTGTTTTTGACGTCTAATAGACGCAAAAAACTATTTGCCCAATAAATTCCGAAAAATGACAAAAAAAAACCACCCTATTGCTCATAGCCATACAGAGTCAAATAAAGTTCGCACAAAAGAGAATGAAACATTTACATACGGCTACTTGATGTTTTTTGAACATGTCGCAGTGAATTCTACTGCTGACATTCGCCTAAGCAGCAAAGATGTGCCGAGTGTACACGAAGCGTGAATTCTTCTAATACGGGTAGTAAAAGTCGTATTGGCTTTAAACGAGTATTGTTTATTCAAAAAAGTCGTCGTTGAATAAGTGCTGACGATGGTTCCTAGTTCGTATTAATCAATTTTTTTTCGGGTGGAATAAAAAACTCTTTTTTGCTAGAGATTGTGCGGAGATGACCCCTTGTCTCTTTGAAAAGTGAATCTTGTGAGGATCTCTCATGGATTTCACAGGGGTGCGGAGATGACCCCTTGTCTCTTTGAAAAGTGACTCTTGTGAGGATCTCTCATGGATTTCACAGGGGTCCCTTTCGAAATGTTTTATCCATTTTATTTTCTTTTCCATCAACAAATATGAAAAAAGTGTTTATTCATTTAAGCATTTTTAAAATGAATTAAATTGTAGTTTTAGAATCAATCCCCTCATCAACTCAAAGTCGTAGAACAACAGTTATTTGTATTGATTGCAAGCAGCATACCCAATGAAAATAGAGCAATTATTGTTCAATCGCTTGATTTAATGACATTATTCACGTTTGAGTGTTTATTTAATCTTTATTCATTTTCAATTTGAACAAAACAAAAAAACATAACGACTGGTGTGTTTAATCAAAGTATCTCGTTTACACTAACTTGAAGTTCAAAAAAAAACATCATCAAAAGTCATCATTGAGTGCATGTTCATTGTTTTGAATGAAAGGCATTGCTTCAGTTTATGTTTTTTCAAATGTCCTTCGGTAATTAGTCGCCCGCATATCCCACATGGGAATTTTTGCCGGAACGTGTGGTATTTCGTGTGGTTCATTTTGAATGGTATATGGCGATGTTGTCTTTTGTGATGTTTTTTCATATTTCGTTCGAGTGTCATTACATCGCAAAGTCCACACATGGACATCTTCACAGTCAATGTCTCTTTGCGCCGTTGGTGGTTTTTCTTCATGTGACTTCCAAATTTGCCTTCATCTATCAGGGTATTGCATATTTTGCAATGACGTTTCGTTTTAATCAAAACGAAAATGTTACCATAGATCTGGACTTTCTTATGTTTACTCAATCGATGTTTGTCTAAATCGTATTCCATAATATTTTGCGCTTTACAAAGTTTACAATGGAATAGTTTCAGTTGGCCACCGACAAGAATTCTCGATGGGATTTTCTGGTCAACATATCGATTCTCAGCAAATTTGTTCTGGACCTTGTGGTTCGATTGCTTTGAATCACCTCGGATGTGCGTGGGTAATGCAACCTGTTTAATGATTTTTTGTGACTTTTTCTGTATCTGCGCTTTGCGGCCATCACGTTCGACGGTGTCACGACGCAACTCGAAAATATTTTCTTTGATTGGAATTTCATCGTGATTTTTTATATGATGTTCCAACATATTATATTGCATTATATCGGCATTGCAAACAATGCAGTTGTACATTTTTGTGTTACTTTTTTTACCTTTATTTAATAAAGTATTTTCCTCTGGGGCCATCAGCTCAAACATTTGATCGAAAGTAGTTGAAACATCTTTTGGGTGATTTTTCTTTCGATGTTTCGCCAAATTTGACTCTTTTATACGTTTAGAGTCGCACAAACCGCATTTATAATACTTTGACTGTGTGACGTCAGCAGCCTTTGGCACCACGGTGACTTCGTCTTTAGACACCTGGCATTGGGAATATTGGGGTCAATTCACTTGGATTGACTTTAAATTCAAAATAGAAAATTAAGTTTACCTTTTCATCGATGGAATTTGGCGGCACCCTTGTTGGTACAGTGTCGGCTGATAGACTCTCGGTGCCTGACTTCGAATTTATTGTCAATAGTAACTGTATGGGAGAAGATTTTGAGTAAAAAAACGTTAATCGATGTCAAATGAAAATGTCTTGATGTTTTGAAAATATTCCGAATCAATCAACTCTGACTAAAATAACATCAAATTTTATCAGTAAAATAGAAAATTTATTTATTACCAGAGACTGACATTTTTCAGAACAATTATAAATTTCAATTTTTTTTTCAACTTTTCATACTTTGCTTCTCAGAGCGCTCCTCCTAACATATATTGCTCGGAAAAAGTAGTCTCTAAATTTTACTTACTTGCCACAATGTGTTCTGATTCATATCAACCAGGATGGGCTTGAAATGTGGCTTTGGATCTGACTTCGAATTTGGCGTTGGATTTGATTTGGAATTTGTCTTTGTATCTGACTTGGCGTTACTGGCTGGTGTCAACTGAAAGATGAAGATATTTTATCATAATCTTCAGTCAAAAGGTACCAATCAACTAAATGCTCAGCTGTTGCCAATATTATGGAGGCCACTGCCCACCTGCAGCTGAATCAGTGCCCAAGCGTTGCTGATCCACCTGGCACAAGTATCACACAGTAGTGCATGAGGCACAATGTGTCATGAACACTATTTGTTATGGTATTCATAGCAGCAGCTGGGTAGTTAGTTAAAGGAGAATATCCAATTTTTTAAATAGAGCGATGAAACCGATTTTGCTTATTTTTTAATACGATCATTTTTGCTGCAAGCGAATTACAATTAAAATGACTTCAGTCATATTTATATTAACACTAGCATGCCTTCGGCTCGCTTCGCTCGCCTCGGCATACTACCCAAGCACTAAATTTGCCTTGTTCACCCGGGGCATTCGTACCGTGCGTCAGTTACGAACACACAAAACAGAATACGGAGCTAAAGACGCTCGGTGCAAATGCTCTGGACGAACAGTGTAATTTGAGTGCTTGGGTAGTTTCTTCCAATATTTCTATATTTTTTTTACGTATTGGACGGTTACTCGCTCGCTTCGCTCGCTCGTAACCTTACCCTTTAATATTAAAATGGAATTTACATCCGTAAGTCTAACTTGTCCGCCCTGTTTCCAAATTTCTTCCTTTGCCGAATGAATTTTCATTCCCCGAAAGAGATATTGAACATGCACTGGTAGTGCAGTACTAATTCAATAAACAGTAAAGTTTTTGGCCAATTAATAGAGTATTGACGTATGAGCAAGGGTATGGCATGCTATGTAATATGTTGGCGAATAAAAACCTTACAAATCTGTCGGAATATACCTTATAATTCTATGAACAAAATTACACAAATATGAGATAGTCAATACGAAATTGTATTTCAGATTCTATCCGATAGATGGCGTTACGGTTTGGCACGTCGCCGTGTCTCTCATATACGTGCAATTCACTTGCGTATAAGTAGTTCAAAATCAGAGCATCTTGATTTGCTGCTGCTCAGCATATAGCTGAGAGCTGAGAAATGCTGAACTCGTGCGGCTAACGCATACGAAATGGATGACACGCACACATGCATTCTCCCCGTTTAAACGGTTATAAACAGTTGTTTGGTCGTTCAATTCAAAACTCAAAACTTAGTAACCAGTTGAGTTTGAAATTGTGTTGCGACCGACATATGAGAAGCTGCGAGAAAAACATCACGTCGCATCCCTCGTTATTTTGCTTACGTAAGTGAAAGCAAGAGATGAGATGCGACGTGCTGTTTTTGCTCTCAGTCTTCCATATATTCTGAAAGTGTACGTCTAACGCATACGAAACGGAAGCACGATACATATTCCCCTTTCACTTCGTATGTTCGCTGGTATAGTGTGTAAACGTTGTACCGGCAATAGCGTCAACGGCAGCACATACGAAGCGAAAGGGGAATATGTATCGTGCATCCGTTTCGTATGCGTTAGCCGCACGAGTTCAGCATTTCTCAGCTCTCAGTAATATGCTGAGCAGCAGCAAATCAAGATGCTCTGTTCAAAATATGTGAAGTGTGTGTTATACGGAAAGATATAATCATCAGAAATGTACCTGTATGATACCGCAACGACATGTAACTTTTACAGGCTATTTAAAAAAAAAAAAAAAAAAAAATTCTTAACGTTTGAAGCAAATTTCAATACAAATTGAAGGTACTTTCTATACGAAGTATTTTACGAATCCCATTTTTTTGGTGATTTTTTCAAATATTGATTGTTTCTCAAAACTAACATCAGATTCGGTTTTCGTAGCAAAAAACCCCTTTACACATATCAAACTTTGATTTACGTCTCTGGGAAAAGATTTATCTAGTTAAAAAAATTTCGCATACCATACCCCCATATATGGGTACATCATGGATACACCGATGAACGAATATCGCTCAAAAACAATACCAGCCTACTCCTTTCAATCCCAATCACCCTGTAAAGTCAGATGTGAATTTGCTGTTCTCCAAGAAGAATTATCGTGCTAACAAAATGGTTAAAAAAAATTGCGTACAGTACACTTTCGGGAGGTTGCTGTTGGAATGATTAGTTTTTCATGATCGTTTATTTCGGCTTTAGTTTTCAATATTCGAGTCCAATTCAACAGCACCAAAATCGAACGATTTTCGACGCTGGATGACCAATGTTAAAAGCAATGGTTGACAAATGATGGACCGTGTTAAACTGTGGTGAATCCTCCGTAAACCATGCTAAATCATGTTTTGACACGTTTTACCGTGATGGTCGACCTCAAAATCCATGGTAAATCATATTTTAACAGTTTTTACCATGATGGCCAACCCCGTAAACCACGATAAATCATGTTTTGACAGTTTTTACCATTTTAAATGGTTTTAGACTACGATGTACCATCATGTCCGACCTCAAAAACCGTGTTATATGGTGTTATACCACGATGGACCGTGATGTCCAACTTTAATAACCATGTTAAATGATGTTAAAATCGCTTAAATCGTCAAAATTTTACATTTCAAACCATTTACCACGGTCCATCATGGTCGGCCATCATGGTTACCACGGTTTACCACGGTCCATTCTCACCTTTTGACAATAAAATGTGCAAAATTTAGGCAAAATACTGTAAAAATACGATTTTTTGACCATAATGGCCGTGTTAGACCACGATGGCCGACCATGATGGTGCCTATGTTCACCGCCCGGCCGAGACCTTTCCAACGGTATAACTTTTATCCGGATCGGTTGAGGCGTTTGGACGCCAACCCGGAACACACAGACAGACATACATACATTCGCTTTTATATATATAGATTAGTTTCATATTTGGAGCGAAAACAATAGTTTTATCACTACCAGCTGAAAAAGTCTGCTATTTTCATGCAATTCTGGTTTCATCGTTCTTTTCTCACCCCCCTCTCTCTCTCTGCTTCTCTCTTGTTTCTCTGTTCAATTCGCTTGTGACATGAACTTCGAATCATTTTTTACCTTTTGTGTGATCGTCTTTGGTTTAGCAAGTACGGGGAGCGGAACGAGTGTGACCTTTGATTGATTTTTATTCGGGCCTCTGGTGCTGGGCTTGAACATTTCCTCGATTGGTTTAATAGCACGGTGATTTTTCCATTGATGTGACCGTAAATGTATTTTTGAGATACCATCAGCATTACAAATAGTGCATTTGTACGTTGGTTGTGTATTGCTAACAACTGAACTTGTTTGCTGTGTGACCGTATTGATATCCTTGGAAGTAGACAACATTTTTGTCAAAATTATTTTTTTTTTTTTATATATATATTTAAATATGTGGAGAATGATCTCACAAAACAAGAAGAAGATAGATTTGTTACCTCTTCATTGCCTTCCTTCACACTGACATCAACCAGGTGGGACTTGCGATATGGCTTGGCATCAGTCTCCGATATCAAAGGCTGCAAACAAAAAATTCACAATTATTTACCGAACGATCGGATGCATGGATTGGTTTTACCTTTTGTTTGGCCGAATTTTGTTCACTACTAACATCAACCAAAACGGGTCTGAGATTTGGGGTGGAATCGATCGACTTTAAAAAATTGAGACAAAAAAAGAGTTCTACTTTCCGGTCAAATAACAAACAATTGGTTAAAACTTACCTTTTGCTCATTCGTCGCCGTTTCAACAGCATTCGTGGTGGTATTCTTGTTCTGTACGGATTCAGTCAATTTCTGTCCCTCATCAATGATGCCTCCCGAAACTTCCTTTTGATTGCCACCAACGCCACATGAATGTAATTTCCATTTCCGTGAATGGGTTCTCATTAAATGATTTTTAAAATCTTCGCTATTCACAACTTTATCACAAATCGAGCATTTATTATATGCTCTAGCACCAATAAATTGAAAGATATCTTCGCCCATTGGAATATCGTTGTGATTCATTGAATGATGTTCTTCCAAATCGTCTTCGCAAATTGCATAACATCCGCAAATTTTACATCCATACATTTTTGTGTTCAATTGAAATTGTTGGCCGCCATTTGGTTGCACGTCGGCTTGATTGGTGTGTTTAAAACGATAACGTTTGTACGCTTGCTTCTGTGAAAGATTCTTTGATTCTTTACATGCATCACAAATGCTTTGATCCAATGGCTGATTGTAATTCTCTTTGATATGAGGGGCACGGCAAATACGACATCGGAGCATTGTCAAGTGAATCAACTCGTAATTTTGATTCGATGCGACTTTTGTCGACACCATCTTCATGCTTTCCGATTGTGTGTCCGGGTGTTGCTTATCTTTGGCTTGTTCAATACTCTCCAGACTTTGATTGGATGAGCCAGATATTGATCGCATTCTTTTGCTATGCGCTGAACTTGTAACTTGTGTGTGTTTAAATATATTTTCATCTTTTGAGATATTTACATGACGCTTCAGATGATGGTTGTCACGGTGTAGTGCCATGATATTGGACGCATTACATACAGTACATGTAAATACTTGCATAGCACTCGGGTCCGGATCAGCATCGACCGGTTCCATAAAGTTATCCGTGCTAAGAGCTTCCATTTGATTTCAGGAAATGTTCAAACACTGCTTCAGTTTTTTTTATAAACATACAACAATTTTATTTAAGTCACATGTAAGGCTCTTGTATTGCTTCTTATAGCTGCGCAAATATCATCACAATAAGAAGTGCTTATGACGTTTGGTGCACATTTGACATCGATGCTTTTGACATTTCCAGTGAGTTCAACGTGAAATGCTGTTGAAGTGTTTTCTGATTTGAAATACACAATGAATCCTTTTTATTTTTTAAGGGGTTTTTGTATTTGAATGCTTTTCCAAATGATTTGATGACTAAACATTATCCAGTGAATGACTTTTTAACGCAAATTTAAATGGATCGAATTGAAGAAAAATTACAATGCGTCATATCAATTAACATTCTGTGCAAGATTTCATGTCATTACAACATCAAACAGGCGTACAATACAAAAATCCATATTTTTGGTGATTTTTTCATGGAAAATTATTTGTATTGCAAAATTAGCGCCAGATACAGAGGTCATATTGAAGGATATTCTGACAATTAGGAGGCCAAAACTGTTCCTTTAATTAGCCGTTCTTTTGAAAAGAAAAGTCCACGTTAGCGTGTAATTGAACGCTTTAGAATAAAAACAACGTACAGAAACAACAAATCTATGTTAAAAAAACGCCGTGTTCCGCTTTAACATAACAAACATTCTGTACGTTGTTTTTATTCTAGAGCGTTCAATTAGCATTTAGACCGGAGCGTCCTTCACATCGATATCATATTTTTATGCACATTTTATTGTTTTCATTCAGTTGCTATGGTTCTGAAAAATGTACTTATTCTTAGATTTTTGAAAGGTCGAAATGCAAGTAAATCATATATGAGTTAGCCATATCTATTTCTGGCCTCAAACCTCCACAATGGTGTGATAGGCTCGAGAATGTATTTTACTTTTCCGCACACCTAGTGTAGGGAAGGTATTGTATTAGGCCAAAAAATTAAAGTCATCCCAAAACATGTTTTCTATGCATATTTCATGTAGAAAACACGATTGGAGATGATTTTGGGGCATATTAATGTGCGTCGCTGTGTGTGATGTGTCCTGTGTCCTGTGACCTGTGTCCTGTGCAGTGACCGGTTCGCGCATATTTCTATGCCTGATAGCTATGCTAAGCATAGCGGAGAGGCAAGCCGCAACTCACCCGTCGCCATTCGATTTGAGCTATATTGTATGCGCACGGTCGTCTGCATAAACGAACATGTGCATTGTTCATATAGAGTGAACGGCGATGCGTCGGTTGCGTTTGCGGCTATGCTTGGCATATCTATGCTACCTAGCGTATTTAGGCAAGCTTAGAAATATGCGCGAACCGGTCACTGGTCCTGTGGCGTGTTGCCAAAATTTGTTAACTCGATAAATCTTTTTCCAAAAACTCAATTCAAATTCTGACTTTGCAGGATGATTTGGGACTACTAGGAGACGTGCTGATTAGTTTTTGAGCAATATCTGTTGACCGGTGTAATTTTTTTGGTCCGAATGGAGTACCCAAATCCATACATTTTACATTTTTGATCATTTTTCAACCATTTTGGTGACACGATGGTTTCGTGCCCAGACATGAAATTCAAAATCTGACTTTACGGGATGATTGGGCACTATGAGGAATAGATCTGGTCAAATTTTCAACGACATTGATCGATCGGTGTAAAACTTAGACTCTCAAGAAGCACTTATGAGAAAAATGCCTTAAAATGATATTCTTTCAATTTGAACGCTGAAAGACTGTGTAGTGGGGGTTTTTTGGCACGAGAAACCCGAATCTGATGTTAGTTTTAAGACGCAATCAATTTTTCACCGACTTTTCATACAAAAATCCACAAAAAATTTCATTTTTGTATGAAAGACCTGCCTTTGTGGTACCGTAATGATGTGAAACTTTGAACAGGCTATTTTTTTGATTGAAATTGCTTTAAACTTGGTGTGATTATTTACTTTGATAAGAAAATAATATTCACAAGTTTTCACAGTAATTTAAGTTCCTGCAACCATACATAGAACATAATTTCTGTTTATTCCCAAAATTTCGGTTCCATGCGGAAAAGTCAGCTTGCGTACGTAAGCCTCTTTATTTTTGTTCGATCTTCAGATTCGATAAATAAAAAGTCGATATAGTCGAAATGGTCAATTGACATTTTTATCCACTTTTTATTCCCATTTTGCTAAACTGTATTTGTCAATTTAAATTCAATGAATTATTAAATAGACTGACTTGGACATTTTATCAAATCGATTGGCCTCCATTCAAAATTGCCGAATGCAGTGAATAAGATGGATAATGTAATATTTTTGAAACATTAAATGGGTTTATAAATTCAAAGAAACTATTTCGATGATTATAATTCATATATGGATAAATCAGAAACACCAAAAACTGACTGATGTTGGATTTGTTTAGAAAAGTGCCGAGATATGAAATAATTGCACCATAGATATGGTGGTAACAGGTGTAGACTGAGTAAAACGAACGCGTTTTTTTCTGTGAGCAAAAGCTGCAAATTTATTTGATAAAAGCCGTGGCAAATGGAACGTAGTTAATATTAAATAATATAATTAAATTGTAAAAAAGTGTTAAAGTGTTTGGTTGTAATAAACGAATGAGCTCATCACAATAAAATCAACAATTTGTTGAGCATTTTTGCAATGTGACTCGTCTCATGAACATGTGATAAAAACGTGACGGTGAAAAAATCTGATAAATAAATTGTCACATATTATTCAAAGTAGAGGTTGTATTGAGTTGAATTTAGACATCAATTGATTTAATAAGAGCAGTTTTTAAAGTCCGTGCTCACGAAGTATCATAAAGAAGGTATATCCTCTGTTTGCCACCTGGAATCATCAGAATCAATATCAAATGCACATTAAGGTCTCGTTGGCTCTGAATTTTAAATTACCGTTTTGAATGTTTGGCGAGTGCATAAAATGTTGCCAAAACCTTTAAGTAAAACTGGTCGTTGAGCATTAATCAGAATAGTTGGGATCATGCATTGAATGCGCAGTGGAAACAAGTGCCAGTCACATTGATAAAGACACTCATTCACATCCATAAATTCGCTGGTTATATTCTCACCAAAATTACAGAATAAAAATATGATAGAGAATGACCAAAATATGAGAACGATTTGAATTATCAGAATAATGAAATTGGTGTTGTCCTGAGACTAAATTTGAAGAAAAAAACGAAATCTTTTGATTAAACTAATGATAATCAAAGTTTAATTTCTAAGAAAATGTAAGAAAACCCACCAATTGAAATTGTGCCATTAAAAGAGTGCTGCAAATTGTGAGACTGCTCCACAAAAAGTAGATCAGAAAAATAATCTCATAAGCATCCGTAAAGTTGGAGGCAAATCTTAAAATAAATTGTATCCCCTTACTATTATGACAGGTTGTGGTAGAGGTGAAAAATTTGAACATAATCGGGGATATGTATACTCAACTCTTTCACAGTCACATAAAATTCAACGAATGCCGAGAGTTTGTTCTTGCCTTCTGTCTGATTCTCTTCGGCTTTGCCAATTGCATTCAACGTATTCACTTCTTCTTTGAGATCCTTTACGAAAGCAAGTATCATCCAGCATGAAGCGACCGCATTAATTACGATACTTGTAGCGATCAAAAGATTGCAATAAGTACACATAAAAATTATTATAAAAGCGACCAAACAGGTGATCGGATCTTTCCAGTCGAATGGAAACCTATTTATTTTGAACATGAAAAAAAAAATCCGAAAATTGAAGGAAATTAATCAAAATAATTCTAGCACTAGACCACATATTCAGGTTACCACATAAGAATCGGCAAGCGAAATGCTGCATTTTCCAAATCAGTTGCAAAATAGAGATAGTAGCATATGACGACATTAGGTACATTAACGTAGAAAAGTGTTACTTTCATAAATGCACATTCAATGAATTTTGACCATTTTTCGATCTTTTCATTTGCCTTTTCGTAGATTGCCTTGGACACCGGATTTCCCATTCCTAAATATTTATTGATCGAATTATTGAAATAGGTAGAAATAAAAATGATTTATTGTCAACTCAGTTTAGTTGGTCATTTATTTCCATCGGTGACTGCCAGCTTTGACAGTTCTCCATTGAAAAACTGATGCATATTCCCTCTAGGATAAAGCTGTCAAAATAATCAATATTCATCGATCACAATCGATTTGAAATAAAAAGATTTTATTTGAACGAAAAAAAAAAATGAAAAAAGCAGGAAAAACTAAAAACAACACTGAATCGAATAATATAAATCGGATGAAACGAAAAAAAGTAATTTAGGTAGATGAAAAAAAAGAATAATTTCTCAACATAATATATTTTATATGGTGTTAACAAACGTGTTGATGACGATTGAGGAATCGTTTGAAAATAGACAAGTCATTTGGCAAATGACAGTACGGATAGTTGAATGACAGCTTTATCCTAGATGTCGTGTTGTGCCATTTTTCAATGAAAATTTATATTGAAAGCATAAGAAACTGCCACCGACTGATTTCCACCGATTTCATAATTGAGATTTTTTTTGTGAAATTCTCAGCTCACTTTAATCCTTATCGGATTCAATTTAAAATACGTACTTTTTTCGATTGCTGCTTCGAGATTCTCAATGAGCTTGAACATGTTGGATGCCTTCGAAATTATTGAATATAAGAGTGGTAAGCACACAAACGATGTGATCATTGAATAAAAGCAATCCGAATATTCTTCAAAGTTTTGTGCTTCAACTAGAAAGGCCATTGATGCCAATACATTTGTTATTACAATTCCAATAAAAACCGCCCAAAATCGAACACCAATCGTATGATTTTCAAATGCTTGAGGCTGATATAAGCCCATCTCTTCATAGATTTTTCGCGTCGTTTGAAAAATTCTCATGGTTTTGTGTCCAATTCTCGGAATTATTGAGGGGAAATTAACTTTCGATTTTGAAGTTTTAAAAATATATCTGTGAATTTTACTTTTGTTTTATTGTATAAAAGACTGATCAATTTTTTTGTCACAAAATTGAATGTTGAAGTAAAGACAATTTCTTTATTAAACACCAGTCGTGTAACACGAGTGCTCTCAAATGCAACTCAACAAATACTGCACCAAAGTTGTGCACTGGCGTGGCTCTTTTATAGCCAATGCATCATATCAATTAAATCAATAGAAGGATATTCTGACAATTAACAGGCTAAAACTGTCCTTTAATTTGCCGTTCTTTTGAAAAGAAAAGTCCACGTTGGTGTGTAATTAGCGTTTAGACCGGAACGTCCTTCACATCGATATTATATTTTTATGCACATTTTATTGTTTTCATTCGGTTGCTATGGTTCCGAAAAATGTGCTTATTCTTAGATTTTTGGAAGGTCGAAATGTAAATAAATCATATATGAGTTAGCCATATCTATTTCTGGCCTCAAACCTCCACAATGGTGTGATAAGCTCGAGAATGTATTTTTTTGTTCGATCTTCGGATTCGATAAACAAAAAGTCGATATAGTCGAAATGGTCAATTAATATTTTTATCCACTTTTTATTCCTATTACTTTTCCGCACACCTAGTGTAAGAAAGGTATTGTATTAGGCCAAAAAATTAAAGTCATCCCAAAACAGGTGAAATTTTTTTTGGTCCGAATGGAGTACCCACAATCCCACATCCATACATTTTTGATCATTTCTCAACCATTTTGGTGACACGATGGTTTCGTGCTCAGACATGAAATTCAAAATGTGACTTCACGGGATGATTGGGCACTACGAGGAATAAATCTGGTCAAATTTTCAACGACATTGATTGATCGGTGTAAAACTTAAACTCTGCAGAGGCACTTATGAGAAAAATGCCTTAAAATGATATTCTTTCAATTTGAACTCTAAATGAATGTGTAGTGGGGGGAGAAACCCGAATCTGATGTTAGTTTTAAGATGCAATCAATTTTTCACACACTTTTCATACAAAAATCCACAAACAGTTTCATTTTTGTATGAAAGACTTGCCTTTGTGGTACCGTAATGATCTGAAACTTTGAACAGGCTATTTTTTGGATTGAAATTTCTTTAAACTTGGTGTGATTATTTATTTTGATAAGAAAATAATATTCACAAGTTTTCACGATAGTTTAAGCTACTGCAACCATACAAAGACCATGATTTCAGTTTATTCCCAAAATTTCGGTTCCATGCGGAAAAGTCAGCTTGCGTACGTAAGCCTCTTTATTCCTTTACAATATATATCCTCTGTTTGTCAATTTAAATTCAATGAATTATTAAATAGACTGACTTGGACATTTTATTAAATCGATTGGCCTCCATTCAAAATTGCCGAATGCACTGAATAAGTTCGACAATGTTATATTTTTGAAACATTCAAAGGATTTCTAAATTCGTAGAAACTATTTCGACAAACTGACTGATGTTGGATTTGTTTAAAAATTGTCGAGATATAAATAATTGCACTATAACATATCTTCATACAATGATTTTTAGATAGGATAGATGCGTAAGATCTCCGCAAGATCCAGATCCAAGCATGCGTACGCTGCCGCATGATGCATACATATATAATACGCACGCAAATTCGTTATTCTTATTTCCCCTTCTTTGATTCGCATGCCATAGCATTACGGAGTAAGGAATGTATGTATCATGCGGCTACGTACGCACGTTTGGATCCGGATCTTGCGGAGATCTTACGGATCTATTCTATACAAAAATCATTGTATGCATATCTTGCATATTAGATTGCGCCATTATAAAGTAAAACGAACAAGTTTTTTTGTGAGCAAAAGCTGCAAATTTATTTGATAATAGCCGTGGCAAAAGCAAGACAGTAAGATTTAAGTGCATAAATTTAACAAAAACTGTTTGGTTGTAATCAAATGAGCATCATCACAATAGAGCAAAATTTAAACAGAGGTAAAAGTAAAATAAAATGTCAAATATTATTCAAAGTGGAGGTTGTACTGAGTTAAATTTAACTACCTTCAACTGACTATGTGACTCTTTCACATCAATTCTTTAATTAAGAACAGTTTTTAAAGTCGGTGCTCACGAAGTATCATAAAGAAGCTCCTCTGTTTGCCAACTGAAATCATCAAAATCAATATCAAATTCACCTAAAGTTCTCTTTGCCTCCAAATTTTAAATTACCGTTTTGAAGGTGTCGCGTGTGCATAAATTTTTTCCAAAAGCTTGAAGTAAAATTGGTCGTTGAGCATTAATCAGAATAGTTGGGATCATGCGTTGAATGCGCAGTGGAAACAAGTGCCAGTCACATTGATAAAGACATTCATTTACATCCATAAATTCGCTGGTTATATTCTCATCAAAATTACAGAATAAAAGTGTAACAGAGAATGACCAAAATATGATACCAATTTGAATTATCAAAATAATGAAATTGGTGTTGTCCTGCGACTAAATTACAGAAATTGAATAATGTTGAAATAAACTTGTTAATTGTTAATTGAAGAATAAGTGAAAAAAGAAGATACGTAACCAATTCAAATTGCCATTAAAAGAGTACTGCAAATGGTCAAGTTGCTCCACAAAAAGAAGCCCAGAAAAGCGAACTCAAAAATGCTCGTAAATGTATGAACAAATCTAACAATAAAATTGAAATAATCATTAGCATCAAACGCGATCAAATAAAGATAATTTACTCAACTCTTTCACAATGGCATGAAATTCAACGAATTCCGATATTTTCTCTTCCAGTTCCGTTTGATTCCCTTCGTATTCGCCAATTGCATTTAGAATATTCACTTCTTGTTTGAGATCTTTTATGAAGGCATAACACACGATGGCCGTAATGATTAAAGTTGTCAACGAACACAAAATTTTTCGTTCGTTTGTTCGATAAGGCCTATCGAACAAACGAACGAACAATCGAACGAACTCGAACAATCGAACAATAATTTATACCATATGTTCGTTAGTTCGATAAATTGTTCGATTGTTCGAGTTCGTTCGATAAGGATTTTTTAAAAATTGTGTAACGCATATAAGCCGATACTATTGAAATACATGGTATAATATGTGTACGCGTTTTCTTTCGTATAAAAAGAAATATATAAACAAAACAGAACATGATCACTATTTTGGCCGATATTGAATATATGCAAGTTAGTTGCCGGGCGTGAATGTATGCGTGCATGTGTATGTGCATATGCAATGCTGAAATGGATTCCTGTTGACACTGTCAAGTCTCTTAACTCAAGTGACACCAACTTCAAGTTGGTGTGGGCAACTTGACGTTTCAAACGTCACGTTTGGAAACCGACCGAAATTTTAGATAGCTAGTTCGACTCGAAACAGTAACACATTAGATTTTTCTCTCTGTATTTTGTGATTTTTGCCTCAATTTTGACGCTATTTATAATAATAATTGGACTCATTCGAAGTGCTAAACCGTGTTCAACTAAAGTTTTTTTTCGTTATTTTTCGGTAAATTTGCACAGAAGACAATTTACTTAGTGATTGACAAATAAAAATAACTGTGTTATTCCACCACACGACGAATCGCGTCGCCATTTTAGTTTACAAACTTTAGTGTCGTTGATCGGTAAGTAAAAATATCATATTGTATGCTATGCTATTGAATGCTATGCTCACAGGGCCACTGCTCTCACAGGGGAGGAGTTTTTTCGTTTTGTTGTTTTTTTCTCTCTCTTAATTTTATGTTACGTTATCGCTCACCCAGAGGAGGAATTTTTTCATTTTGTTGTTTTTTTTCTCTCTCTCTCTCTCTCAATTTTACTTTTGCTTTCTCCAAGGGGAGGAGTTTTTTCGTTGTTTTTTTCTCTCTCTCAATTTTACGTTACCGCTCAGAGGATGAATTTTTATCATAATGATACGTCACATTAATTTGGTCACATTTTCTTAATTTTTTTTCACCAATACAGATGGAGAATAATATGGAATTGGAAGAGGCGTTAGCTGACTGCTTTGGGGAAAGCGATAATGTAAGGTTGCGTCGGGGTCTCGCCAAAGTGAATATAGTGAAGCTTCGTACAGCGACCCACAAGGACAAGGTAAGTAGCACAGAATATATTGATCTGACTAAGTCACCAGCTGACTTGATATAGCCACATTTGGAGATTTCGATTTTGTGACAATTTGGCTCTACAATGTGGAAAAAACGCAGAAATAGACATCTAAAATATCAAAATAGAAGTCTATTTTTGCAGTTCCACGTTGTTGATTCAAATTATTGTTGCCACAAATTCAAATGCCCTATGTAAAATCTACATTGTAAATGACTATTTAGAGTCAGTTGGATGATCGGTCAGTTCAATGAGGAGGTATTTGTTTCTAATGGACTTTGTCCATTAGACAAAACATCACCAGGGGGTCCTCCTGTGGGGGAGACTCCCCGGGGGAAGTAAACTTTTTTTAGCATACCGCATGTCTGCAATCTCTGCAGACTCTGCATCATGCGGTCAAAAGGATTTATGGCCATAATTAACGGAAGAGGTAATTCAGTTAAAAATCTTAACTTAAGTCTTAAGATGTGCAAAAATTTCCGTATTAAAAAGTTAATATAATTTGGCAATATGATTCATAATATGAATATAACAATAAATAAATATTTAAAGACAAGAAAAAGGTTGTTTTATGGGCTTTATAGCGTACAGCCCATAGAACAACAGTTTTTTGTCTTTGAATTAGTCAACGCTTAGCGTTGAACGCTATGGCTTTTTATTATATTGTAAATAAATTGTATTTGATTAGTCCGAGGAAGATCCGACGGAAGAACCGGACCCGGCGAATCCTGAGGAATCTGGTAACATTGTCCAGGTACAAGTTGTAAATATATAAATAAACCCCCAGGGGAGGAATTCTCTTATTTTTTTAAATTTTGTTTTCTTAGCAACCATACGCCGAACCAGTGCAGGAAGTAAGAGCCGATGATCAACAGGTCTACACCCCACTACGCAAGGTCCATTACACCCAACCACCTAAGTGGGTCGACCCAAGAACAATGCTGCCAAAGCCTTTAGACTTACCTGGCCCAAAGGTAAGTCAAATTAAAAAAAACCAGGGGAGGAATTCTCTTATTTTTCTCCAAATAATACTGCAACATAAAGTTTTTTATGAATAGTTTATTTGTTGTATTACAACAAATAAACCGTGTGAAAAAAACTTCATGTTGCAGTATTATTTGGAGAAAAATAAGAGCTTCTTTTTCTCCGCAACGATTCATATGACATTTTCCCAGGGGAAAATTTCCCTGACGAGGAATAATTAAAAAAAAAGTCCTTGGGGAGGAATTAAAATTAAATACATTGTTTTTCCTTCAGTTGGAATTGTTTTCTTTACAAAATCCTTCAACACATGCGGATGATCCTCCTTTGTCAGAGGCTTTTGTGACTGATGCAACACCTCATGGTCCTCCCCATCACGGCGAAGAATTCAGCAATGCCTTGGTAAGAGTACAATCAACTCCCGGGGAGTTAGAGTTTATTAATATTAAAATTGTGTTCAGGTTTCAAATTCAGACAAGCCAACCACAACAGCCATTGTAGATGATCCTCATCGCGTCGAAGACGGTAATATTGAACTCGAATCCTTTGCTGCCATCCAAGACGACGAAGTCGTAAGTCCTCCTTTCGGAGTAACTTTTTTAATAAACTATTAACATTATTATTCATTTAATTTCTTTTATAGTGGCCACCAATTCGCTCCGAACGAGTGTCGATTTCCAGTCGTACTATTGTAGTAAAACGATTTGCAAAATCATCGTTTAATGGGAAAAGCAATCTTCAAAAAAGAATTGAAAACATTTTGGAGAATAATGGTTTAAGAGTTGATACCGTTTCGATTGTAACGATGGAGCTTTTTCTAAATGCCGAAATTACATTCCGTGATCGTCGCTACGCTGTGAAAGCTATGCAAAACAAATGCAAGATTGAAAAATTCTTCAAACAATTCCGTTCCAAAATTGGTAAAGCCGGACGAAATATATGCAAAATGGAAATATTGTATGCATGGGATAGTGATGGCTTGCCAAAAAAGTACGGGGAATACTGGTGCAGCAAATCGGGAACCTGTTTTCTTCCGTGGCACATCTTCCGAAATCTTGACGACGATGACCGTCACCACTTAGAAGACGGGTGCATCGTTGATGCAACAACATTACCAACACCGATGTCATTGAAACATTTCACTCTCCCGTATGACCAACAAGTTCCAGGAGTAAGTCTCTCCATGAGGAGGAAAATTTATATTTTTCTTTTATTTATATGAAAATTTGATTATTTTTAGCTTGAAGTGGCTGTCGAAGTCGAACAGTCTGTCCCAGTCCCAGATACTGGTGATGGTAATATTGATATGCAAGCAATTGAGGATGCGCCAATTAAAGCCCCTGAACAAAGCCAACAAATTCCAGAAGTAAGTCTCTCCATGAGGAGGAAAATTTATATATTTTTTTATTTATATGAAAATTTGATTATTTTTAGCTTGAAGTGGCT